GGTTCCCGGGGGCCGGGGGAGGGGGCACGGGGCTCCGCAAAACCACTGAAGGGTCCAGAGGCGTTTGGGCGCCGTGACGCCGGGGAGGGTGCGGAGGGACAGAGCAACAGGTCCGGCCGAGCGTGTCTCCTCCGGGGAGGAAGGTTTCCAGGGAGAGTGCAAAGCTTTAAACTTGTTGCATTGATAGGTCAACAGGTTCCTCTCAACCGCCCTTTGTGTTTCCAGCACAGTTAATTGGGGTAAACCTAGAGCTTGTTTAATGTGTCATACTTTTTTTTGGAAAATCCTCTAAAGAGGTTCCATTGTTGAAGATTTAGGGGCTATTTATTATAAAGGAGGATTTGAGTCACGTGGTGATGTCAGGTTTAGATACAGATTGTTAATGTGTCAACGATGGGAAAGCAGCTTTTCTGTAAGGTGTATTTCTTAATGTGTGAAAAAAGCTTATAGTTCTAAATTCCTGAAGACAAGGAAGAAAGTTCATTTTGCGATGTTTTTGGTGGTATAGTTTCTTATGCAGTCTTTCAGTCATAATTTCAAAAAGTAGAAAAATGACAAAGACAAGATTGTTGGGGTTTTTTTTTAAGGTTGTTGGTTTTTGGTGACACCCAGTTGTTAATTACGTGCAAATGTAATCTAGTTGATGTAGTCCAGTGTAACCAAGTAAATGTTCTAGTACATTCTCACGTTAACTATTATTCTGAGTTACTATTTACACTTACTTTAAAGTAAAATACTAGTAGACCCTTAAATATTAGGATCTTTGTTTAGAAATCTTTTAAAGGGTAAATTTAACCTAGCGAAATTAGAGTAAATCTTTGAGAAAGCTATTATTCCTTGCTTGTATTTCTCAAAAAAAGTGTGAGCATTGATATATAACTACCTGTAAGCACGGTGAATTATAAGGAACTTTTGAGTATTTTGCATGATCTTATATTCTTTAAGATGTCTGGAAATTCTAGGCCTCGTAATTTAGGATTTTACAGAATGACATTTGCATAGATTGTGATTTTCCTATTGGTCTTAGTTTTCTTTCAGTCATGCCAAATGGATGCTTAGTACCTCTATGTACGAGTTATGTTGACTCAGTATAGTATATGTACCTGTAAAATTAGCAGATTTTTTGAAGTGCCAGCCTAGTGTTTGTAAAGATGTGATGTGAATAGAGATACAGGTATGAGTTTATCTTTAAACTAAAACAGCTGTATACATTTCTTCATTTCTTTTTTTAAACTTTATTTTTATTGCTTAAACTAAAGTATTACAAATAGTAGTACATGTGTCTCCTTTTCTTCCCCATTGACCTTCTCCCGGCCTCCCCTAACCCTGGCACATGCCCCCCCCCCACCTCCCTCCAGTGTCTTGTGTCCATTGGTTATGCTTATATGCATGCATACAGGTCCTTCTGTTGATCTCTTCTACCCCTCCCCCAACACTCCCCAGCCTTTCCGCTGTAATTTGACAGTCTGTTCGATGCTCATTTCTTCATTCTTACAGTGTTCAAGCACACTCAAAATGCTAGTTGATTGATGCTTTACGCAGACTATCAATACTGAAAAGTCATTTTACCAAATTTATTCTTTACATCTTGTAAGACCTTATATCAGTGGTTCTCAACTTTCTTAATGCCGCGACCCTTTAATACAGTTCCTCATGTTGTGGTGACCCCCAACCATAAAATTATTTTCGTTGCTACTTCATAACTGTAATTTTGCTACTGTTATGAATCGTAATGTAAATATCTGATATGCAGGATGTATTTTCATTGTTACAAATTGAACATAATTAAAGCATAGTGATTAATCACAAAAGCAATATGTAATTATATATGTGTTTTCCGATGGTTTTAGGCGACCCCTGTGAAAGGGTCGTTTGAGCCCCAAAGGGGTCGCGACCCACAGGTTGAGAACCGCTGCCTTATATTTTACTTTTAAGATATTTTAGGTTTGCCAAAAGGTTTGTATTTTTTGTTTTAATTGAATTTGTTTTTGAAAATCGATTAGGCAGAATTTCAGGACTTTAGTGATTTTAAGTGTGATATAATATTAAGAATGGATATTATGTTTATCAGGCTTTTTAGTTGCTGGATACTTTAGCAAGGTCCTTTATTATTATCTAATAGTGCTATGCATTTTGTTTATTTGATATAATAGTGGTATGTGTGATTGGGCTTATCCATATTTAGCAAATATTTATTGAGTATATATTATATGCCAGATACTGTTCTAGGGCCTGGGATATAGCAGTGAAGAAAGACAAGATCCTTGCCCTTAGGAAACTTGCCTTCTAAAGAACCATTCATAACTGAAATATTTCGTGGTGTTTATATTGACCACTAGTATTTCTAAAAGATTGGATTTGGAATGAGCTTTAGAATATCTTCACTAACATTCCTGACAGCTGGCCATTTGGTGTGTTCCTGAATACATTTAGAGGTGGGAAGATGTTGCTTTGAAGACAGCTTATTTCATTACATCTGGGACTCAAGTTCTAGTCTTGGTTTGCCCAGGTTTTAGCTAGATCCTTGGAGACTCAGTTTCCTAAGCTGTAACAGGAAAATACCTGTTTTGTGGTGTGTGTGTGTGTGTGTATTTCAGGAATTAAATGAAAATTTATGTATAGAAATAGTGTAGAGTATTACAGAAATCTACTGTGGTTTAGATGTTATTGAATTATTAGAATTCTTCATATTGAAACAGA